CGCGGCTCCTCCCTCGACGGCGCAGCGCGCTCTGCAGGTGGACGGCTCGGCGAGCGCACAGGAGACGTGTGTGCGGGGCGCTCTTGATCGCGACGGCTCGGAGAGCCAACTGGGGCCGGCGAGCCTTCTTCACGGCGTGTCGACGGTGTGGGCGAAGCGTCGCCGCGGCTCGGGGAGCGTCGCGCGAGTGGGGACACATCTCCCTGGTTCGGAGAACCCTCCATGGACTCGTCCACCTCGCCCTCTTCACCAAAGATTTCCCTAGGATCCATGATCTGGCGGGTTGGTGCTCGAGGAGAGCTGGGGCTTGCGCGCTTCAGGCGTTGCGTCGCGAAGTACTCGGACACCGAGAGGCTGGAAGGCGTCAAGGGTGTGCGCGCCGGCGCTGGCGTTCGCGGAGGTGCGGAGGCACGCAGTGCAGCAGCACGAGAGGAGCGAGGCTCCGAGGCGGATCTCGCGAGAGGCTGTCTGCGGTTGAAAGACCAAAAGGCTTTATGACTTGAAGTCATGTGAGGGCGCGTTGCGCCGAGGAGTTCTCAGAGAAGTCGACGCGATGTAGATTGACTCGTTCGAGAAGGAGGCTTGACGGAACAAGACCCGGTGGCTGACCGTTAAGCGTGCACACCCGTGTCCACGGTTTGGTGGGGGAGGGTGTAACGGGGTTACACGAGAGTTACCCGAAGGGTTACGAAGTGGGTACGCACTGTCTAACCTAAATCAGTAGTAGCATCAGTACATGGCTTCAGAGCCACTGATTATGCATATGACTAGGGTTCACTATGCTAGATAGTGAACCGGATACATTTACACCGTAGGCGGCTTTGCCGCAATAAAGGGAAATACATTCAGTTTGAGATTCACACAGCTAAGAGTTAAGGGTTGACTCTTGGAGTCCGTAAGGTGTACGGACTCGTACATTCTGGTATTAGAACGGGCTATCTTAAGCTGAGACTCTGTGAGTCTGTTAAGCTTCCTCTGACGCAAAGCTACGGCAGCCCCGCTGCACAGCGGTTTTGTGAGCAGTACGCTGAACTTACGGCCCCACTGTTCACGTTGTTGAAAAAGAAGAATCAACGGAATTCCAAGATCACCTTCAACACGGTGCAGCTGCAGAACTTCAAGAAGTTGAAGCGCCGGTTGTCGGAAACTCCAGTTCTGCACCTACCTGACTTCACACAGCAGATGCATCTGCGAACAGACGCGAGTCAGTATGCTGTTGGCGGTGTGCTCTTTCAAGTCGTCGATGGATTCGAGCGCCCCATCGCGTACACAAGCAGGAAGATGAAATCAGCTGAGCTCAAGTACCCAAAGCAACAGCAGGAGTTATGCGCGATTGTCAACGCATTAGCCGCATTCCGGATTTACTGTTTGGATAGACCGGTAATGGTGGAGACAGATCACAAGTCACTTGAAGGTATTTTTCAGCAAAAGATGGCGAATCGGCGCCCCGCGCGATGGTATGATATTCTGGCTGAGTACTAACCCGTGTTTGCGTATCTTCCGGGCGCTAAGAAGGGAATCGCTGACGCCCCGAGCCGACGACCTGACCTCAAACCGGAGACGAAGGATTTCCACGATTTGCCCGTTCCGAGCTTCAACGAGACCAGCTACCAGCTACGTGTGACGGAGATCAAGCCTACGACGATTTGATCAAAGCGATAATCGCTGGATACCCAAAGGACAAGGTTATTGGGGACATTCGGCGCGCGATTAAAAGACGTGGGACTGCGTCAGTAGTGCGTGGGGAATCAGAGAAGCAGTACAAACCTTACTTCGAGGAGAAGAATCTGATCTGGTGCCAAGGCTCAACCGACGTGCAACCTCGTATCGTGGTCCCGAACATCGTGGCACTCAAGCACCGTATCATCGCTAAAGTGCACGATACCAACTACGGTGGACATTCCGGTGCAGATCGCACGTACCTGAAGCTTCACTCGGATTGGTATTGGCTACGCATGGTGCGTACGATCAAGAAGTACATTGCAGACTGTGAGGTCTGTCGGCGGAACAAACCACGACACCTGGACTTCTCGAACCATTGCATATTCCGGACGAACGATGGCGATCCATTTCAATGGACTTCATTATTATTATTACCTACCAGAAACCAAGCGAGGCAGTAACTCGATTTGGGGCGTTGTTGACCGGCTCACCAAACGAGCCCACTTCATTGCGACGACAAAGGAAGTTTCAGCTCAAGAGGTCGCAACGCTGTTCGTCGATAACATTTGGATGTTTCACGGCATTGCCTGAAGACATCGTGTCAGATCGCGACACCAAGTTTGTCTCGGGATTTTGGAGCCAAGTGTTCGAGAATGTTGGAACCAAGCTGAAGATGACCGTCGCGTACCGTGCACAAGGTGACGGGCAGACAGAGCGCACCAACCGCACACTCGAAGAATATCTATGCTGTTTCGTTTCTCCGCGTCAAGACGACTGGGATGTACATCTCGCTAACGCTGAGTTTACCATTAATTCCGCCGTCAACTCAAGCATCAAGATGTCGCCATTCGAAGCTGACATTGGATACGTCCCTCGCAACCCGCTAGCAGCTGTCGCAGCAACAAGTCGTCATGACGTGCGCAGAGGACGACGCCAAGGTATCAAGTTCACCGATCGACAGGAAGCCATCCTTCGTCAATGTCAAGAGGCCTTGGAGGAAGCTCAAGCGCGGATGGCTGACGTGTACGACCGGGGAAGAAAGGAGTAAGTGTTCCAGGTCGGCGATCAAGTTTACCTGAGTACGAAGCACTTGGACACAGCCCATACCGGCTTTCCCAACTCCCGCAAGCTTGGCCCCAAGTGGATCGGCCCGTACTCCGTCGTTCGCACCGTCCACAAGCATGCTTACGGGATGAACTTGCCGCCTGGACTCAAGTTGCACCCCGTCTTCAACACCGGCTCATTCATGTCGTACGAGCTGCCAACACGCCTCTCTCGCCCCCAGGAGGTCATTCTACACGATGGTAGTGTTGGCCAGATTGTTGAAGCAATTATTGGCAAGCGCAAGAAGCTTGGAGCCGTACAATACCACATTAAGTGGGTGGGTGAGGCGGATGCTACATGGTAGCCTCTGGAGAATTTACATCAAGTTTCGGGGCTGATTCAGGCGTATGAAGATAAACAGAAGCAACGACCGCGAAAGCGACGACGCAAGTAATTGCAGGAACAATGACAAGGAGATTGGCTACGATTCCGTACATGGGAACAACACTGGTGAGTTTTACTTTTCTATTTTTGGTATTTTTCATATTGTGTGTCGTGCACTCTATTTTGTGTAATACAGATTAGAGCTTATCAAAATCAAGGCAAAGCGGGTATACAGTTATCAAGATAATCAAGAACCCAAATCTAGCGAATCAGCACTCGGCGCACGAAGCGAACCTCCGCCAACCAGGGCGCAGCCTACTCAAGCAACGGGACTTGGACGACCTCATCAACCGACGCGAAGCGCCCGGCGGTCGTCACGATCATCGTGAATGCATGAGACTTGCGCTGCAGGCCTGGCGAAGAGCCCGCGCAGAGGTACACACCCGGGGCAAGAAAAAGGTTGTCAAAACCAAGGTACGACGAGACACCGGTTAGCCGCTCCAGCACTTGGTTAACTCGCAGTGTGTCCTCGCAGATTTCCGGCTTTTCAGCAGCACGCGCAGAGCGATTCTGTTGACGAGCGAACGTCCACAACGTGGACCACACTACACCCACGCCTGGAATGGGCTTACCCTTGGCAGCTTGGGCATCGTAGAATTAGTCGACGGCAGCCCCCGAAAACCAGCCAACCAGACCAACGGCATCCGTGGCACGCGACAGGTCGTGGAAAGCACAGCAACCATCGTTCGCGGCGCCAATGGCCTGTGAGAATTCATCGGGACGAGATAGAGCGAACTCCGCGAAGCCGCCAAGCGCCTTGTACGCGTCGACAAGGTCCAGGAATTCTCCGAAGCCGCCTTCTTCCAGCATCCAGCGCGGCTGGTAGGAGCTCTGGGTTTTGCCTGGGGCCACTATGTATTGCATGGAGTATCGTGAGTTATCGGTGACATCCGTACCTACTCGGTCCGTGATGAGCCAGACATGCCAGCGCTGTTCAGTGGCGGCACCCCGACTCGAAACTTTTCGGCAGGCAAGGCGAGCGAGAGACCGGCGAGGAGTACGGCCCCCCGTGGAGCTAGCAGCACTCTGCTTTGTGCGAACCATGCTGGGCTCTCGATGGAGCGAGGTGTTGCGCGCAACAAGCCACACAAGCACGCCAGGTCGTCGGAAGCTGGTGCAGAGGGACTGTGGTCGCGACGAGCTGTTAGTGTCGAGCTGTAGGCACCGAAAGCTGGAAACTTACCAAGTGCCGAGCTGAGACGTTCGCTGCGGCTCCGCAGCTCTTCCTCATCAGATATAGATCGAAACGGACGCGAGGACGAGGAATACCAAGACCGGAAGACGAGAGCCAAACTGCAACACTCCGCCAAACGACCCTGAAGGGCTATCCAAATCCGGAGGGATAAGTGTATCAAATATGGCTACTGTACCAGTTTAGTGGTACAACTACTTAGCAAGGGTATTCATAAATAAAGGGGCTCCCTCACGTGTTGGTGGTCGGGGAATGACCAGCACTTCGCAATCTCCCCGCCAGCCCCAAGTACCTGTTCCTCCTCCTCCGCCTACCGCAAGGGCCAGTTTGTTATAGTGCCGCGCTCAACGCTGCACACGACCGCGGTGAAATCTCGGCAAAGGAACTTCAGAACGCGTTGAACAATCTTATGTAGGAGGAGATTGCATTCTGCACGACGAGCAAATTTGGCCAAACAGAGCAAACTGACAAATAGAGTCGGAGTGGTTTGAGGGCAAATATGATGTTCCAAAGCAAAGCTTGTATTATTGGTAGTCGGAGGTCCCGGTGTACGGCAGCTCGTTAGCAGCTCATTGACTCACATCAACGGCTGTGTTGTTCAGCACCAGCATACCCGGAAAGGCTTAGAGTAAAAGGCAAGTCGTTCAGAAACAAAATCATGCCTTCGGTCCGAAGAAGCTCAGAATTTATTCAAAATACCCCCCTCCCCCCCCCCCCCGATTTCGCGGCCGCTAGCGACTCCCGCAAGAGATTGCTTCGGGTTACCGATCCAGACGAAGATGACCTGGCGGCCGCTGATGAAGATGATGAAGAGCGAGGTAAGAAGTTCCAGAAACTCACTGAGATCTTCGAGAGGTTGGACAATGCCAAGGCTTTGTTGGAAATGAAAGACAAGCTTGACGAAGCGAAGGTGGTCATGATGGTCAAGGCTGCAGTGGAAGAGGGCAAATGACGAAAAAGGAGGCTGGCGCCGTACTGGCCCTCTTAAATGAGTAGGAGCTGAGTCCATCGAGCACGAGGACCCAGGAGAAATGTTGAGAACGCGCAATGGTCGTTTAACCTGTCTAACAGAGTAAATAGCTACTGCTGTGTTTTGACCGGCAAAAAGCCTGTTTTCACGTGATTTGGGGCTAAACGCGACGTGATTAGATTTATCAGATCACCGAAGGCATGCCTCGCAACGGGTGCGTCGTGCGAGGCGGCCCCGGGAGTCGTGTGGTTGGTCTTAAAGTTCGGCCAGCGAGCAAGCTGAGAGCTGAAAAACACCGCTGCTAACACTAAAACTAAGCTGCCTACTGCTTGCCACACATATGAAAAGATTTCATGACGAACACGTCGCGAAGGCCCGGGCTCCGCTCCAATCACTCGGACGCGGTGCTATCTGGACATAGGAGCTTGAGTAACCTTGAAAAGTAGGCGAGCACAGCACTTCTGCATAACGATCCGGCACGAAAGTTCAATTTAGCGGTCTTCGAACAGAGTGAATGGATGAAATGAAGATCGCCGTGGTTTGAGGGCAAACCTGGTGTTGCAATACGAAGCACGTATATAGTATTCGTAGCCAGAGATCCCAGTTCGTTTGTAAGACTGGTACGTTGGTCTTCGCGTGTTGTTCTTCACCAGAGCTTTCGAGAATGGGGGATACATTGCTGAAAGTGCCGTAGTATCAAGCAAGCAGCAGAGTCTCGTCGTTTGTTTTTGTGCTCCGATAGGACGGTGCCAACAGATCCGCTCCGATCGAAGAGTAGAAGTAGCATGTCATAACCTTGATCAAAGCCCGCAACCTAGCGGAACTAATCGCAGATAGCTTTGTTGGTCCCAAACCAAGGATGCATGTCCACGCGAGCTACTGGTGCTTGCCCTTGAAAGCCGGCAGAGTCCAGTGCACCCAACCAACATGTACTTGCCTCCACAGCCTGGCTGGGTTAAGATCGCATCGAGGTGTGATATATGAGAGCGGGGCGCATCGCGCTTCTACCAACTCATGCCATGCGCCTCACAATCGAAAACGAGACCAAGAGCGATAAGATCCGAGGAACACCAGGGTGGTGATGAAGAGCAGTCTTTGCTCATAAGTGTGAAGGTCGTGTGTCGGGAATCTTCGACCTTGATGGCAGAACAACAAGTTGTGCGTCGGATCGAAGCGTTCCTGGACTACTCGCCGCAGTACTGGTTGCACAAGGCGAGCCGCGACCTTCCTCTACGACTCGTCAAGCGCGTGTTTGCATGCAAAGAATGGGACCGAGGAGACGTCGCGTACTCCATCGGCCAGGCCGCTTACGAGGGGAAACTCGATGTGATCCAGTGGCTGTGCGCACAGGCGGAGGAAACTCTCAACGCTCGGACGAGAGAGTTTCTGATGGGAGATAATCCGCTGCTTGCAGCTGCATACAACGGGCACCTCGAGGTGATGAAGTGGCTTGTCGACAATGGGGTCAAGATCAACGATGCGGACGAGGAAGGCTCTGCAGCTCTGGTCTCGGCTGCTGGTAATGGGCACTTCGCTGCTGTGCAGTGGCTGGTCGAGCTGGGGGCACACTTGTCCGACGATGAGGAAAGTGACGCAGCTCTGCATGTGGCTGCTGCCTTTGGGTCTCTGAATATTGTCAAGTATCTGGCGGAGAAGGGCGCTCGTGTAGATGGGAAGACCGAAGGGGGCAAGTCGGCGCTGCACTGTGCAGCGGGTGCTTCCGAGGAGAGCGTCGAGCTGGTGCAGTTTCTGCTCGACAACGAACTTCAACCCTCGGATGCTGATGATATGGGGTGAACTGCGCTGTACTACGCCAGCACTTCACACAACTTCCAAGGGGTGGAGCTCTTGCTGAGGGAGTGTATGAAGGGCAGTCGCCCTCCAGCTGCCGATTTATCGCGCGCATTCCTCGAGGCGGCCAAGCGAGATCGCCTCCGCCTCGTCGAAAGCTTGATATATATATATATGGCATGGGGTGGACGTTCACTACACGAATGTTCAAGGGAAAACCGCGCTCCACGAGGCAGCAGGTGCTGGTTCTGTTGGCGTGGTTGATTTCCTGCTCAGTCGGGGAGAAGACCTGCACCAGGCGGACAAGTTCGGCGCGACGGCGGTCTTGGAGGCGCACTTTAGTGCGTCAACAACAGCATTGATCCCTATACGCTGGCTCGGGTCGAATCGGCACCAAAGCGTAAGCGTCCTCAGTGCAGTTTTCAGGGCGCTTTGGCAGTCGGTTCTGTTTCAAGACATAATGCCGCACTACCGGATCCATCAGCATGACACCCCACGGAACTTTCCCACTCACAGCTTCCAGAACACACATGCCAAACGAGTAAACGTCCGATGCGAACGTCGACTTCTCCCCGCGCAGCACCTCCGGGGCCTTCCATCGGATGGCGCCAACTGAGATGTGTCCACTACTTTCCACATCGGATTCTGGCTCGTTGTTGTTCACGGTCGTGCTGGCCTCAACAGTGCTCAAGCCGAAGTCTGTCAGCTTTGCACTACCGTCACTCCCAATCAGAATGTTGTTGCACTTCAGATCACCGTGCACGATACGCTTCACATGCAGATACCGGAGGCCCAGCGCTGCTTCGTACAACTTCTGCCACACTTCGTCCGGATGCGTTCTCAGGTAACTGTCCAGTTGGCCATTGCCAGCGTATTCACACACGAAGAATGCTCGTTGGATGTGGCATGCGCCGTACAGTCGCACCACGTTCGGGTGGTACAGTTTGTGCCAGACCTCCACCTCGTTCAGGAACGCAGCCCTGTCCTGCTCCGTCTTCAGCTTGACCTTCTTCACCACCACCTCCGACCGTTTCCACTTGCCGTGATACACTTTGCCAAAGCCTCCTCGGCTGAACTCGTCGAACTTGTCGAATTGCACCTCGTGAGCGGGAATGAGCCAATTCGGGTTCTTGACTGTGGATAGAGCAGTGATGGCTGACTTGGCACGCGTGAAGCCGCCAGCTTTGCTCGTAGTGTAGCTTGTCGAGTGTTTGCTCAGCTCAAAGCGCAGATACGTGAGAGCTTCTTCTATCTCTTTCTCGTCGCCCACGTCTTCCAGCAAGGCAGGCAGGTTTTCTAGTGTTTGCAGTATCTCACGCTGCTGTTGGCGTCGTCGAAGTTCCCACTGGTCTCGCCACTGATGAACTGTCGCCGACTGCGGTAACCCAGCCGAAGCTATGAAGCCATCGATGTCGCCGTGCACGGAGAACGTATCGTCGGCTCCTTGGCGGCTAGCTGCAAATCGTGCAGCTTTGGATGAGCCCACAGAGCTTGTGGTTTGGAGTCGCATGTGAAAGTAGCGAACGATGTCGCTGTATCGACGGATGGTGTCACTAGCTGGGAGGCCTGACTGAGCTTGGAGCTGGTTGAATGTATCCACGAGACGGTCGTACACGTTCCGATTCATGGTATCGATAGTCAAAGGTCCTGTGCACATCGTGGCAATATCGGCAAGGAGTTCCGACAGCGTCACGTCGCCCATTCGCACTTGGCCAATATCGCTCCACGAGGATAATGCTGCACCAAGCGACTCGGATGAAACCTCTTGGTCCATCGAGAGGTCTTTCGTGAGCGCTTCTAGCTCGCGCACGACGTCTGCCATCGAAAGCCGTTCAGCAGGGTTGTAGCAGCACATTCTCTCGATCAACTTCCATTGGTTTGTAGTCATATTGTCGGGGTTTTCAAGGGGTTTCCCGGACAAAATCGCGTCCTGAATGTCACTGTTGTCTGACAAACCCCACGCTGGTGAGTTGCTCATAGTGTCCTCGATAACTAGCCCGAAGACGTACACGTCGGTCTCAAACGACGCTGGCAGACCTGCCAGAATTTCAGGGGCCGTACACCAGGGCAGATAAGTATCGCTCCCATCAAATACGTCAACCTTCACAACTCCACTAGGATTGACAGCGAAACTGTAGCAGCTAAGCGTTCCATGGACAATATTCCGGTCATGTAAATACTGCAAACCCAAAGCTGCTTGATAGAACTTGTGCCAATCGCCGTGTGATCTGCCCAGTCTTTCATTACCCTCGCACACGAAATAGGGTCTTTGCTCGTGTCGTCGCTATGGCAGAAGCCGTAGAGTTTCACGATGTGAGGATGATTTAACCGTGACCACTGCTTGAGCGTTTGGAGAAAGCTCCTAGAGTTCCACTTTTTCTTTTTCAGCTTTACTTCAATCGGCGAGTCAAGCCACGTCCCGTCCGTCGAATGCTGTACAGTTGTCGTCATCAAATTGTAGCACACTTCGGCTGAATGGAGTCGGTGCTCTTGGTACTCGGCAAATGGATCGGAGTTTGCACCTTTAAGGGCTTTGGTTCGCTCTGATAAGAATCTGGCTACGTCGTGATGACCACCCTCTTCTGCGAGGGCTTGTGCTGTCTGACCGGACATATTCTCGGCATCCAGCGTGGCTGTATTTGCGATCAACAACTCCACGATTTCAGCATGACCACGGGAGGCAGCACTGTGCAGCGCCGCTTATCACGGTAGTCGACATCTGCGTCATACTCGAGTATCAATCGACAGATTTCCTTGTGTCCGCCCTGCGCAGCGAGGTGGAGAGCTGTCTGGCCAGCGATATTCACATCACTAACGCTCCCTCCTGCCTTCAGGAGACGACGCAAGTTCTCGAGACGACCGTGTCGAGATGCTTCCAAGACGGGCGTCGCGCCGAACTTGTCCGCTTGCTGGAGGTCCACTCCATGAGAAAGCAGGAAATCAGTCACAACGATAGCTCCAGCAGCACTGGCCTCCTGGAGTGCATTCCGTCCTCGGAGGTTCGTGCACTGGGCATCCACGCCAGATTCAATCAGGTATCTCACAAGGCTAAGCTGGTCTCCTTTGGCTGCTTCCAGGAGAGCACGCAACAAGTCGGTCTGTGGTTGCTGAGTCTCCCCGAAGCACTCTCTCAAGAAGAAGTCGACGATGTCAAAGTTCTGGGTAGTAGAGCGCTGTCCGGCCCCAATCATCGGTATCAGAGAGTCGAAGTCCGCGACTCTTGAGAAACTGCACCAGCTCGAGACTCGCTTCGGAAGCACCTGCACCAACATGCAGAGGTGACTTCCGTCTTATCCACATCAGCACCCTTCTCCACCAGATACTTTACCATCTCGAAATTCCCAGCAGCGGCAGTTCCGTGCAATGCCGTTCCATGCAAACCTTCCTCGTTGATATTCGCACCATGATCCACCAGCCACTTCACTGCAGCAAAGTGGCCTTCACCAGCAGCCTCGCTCAAACACGTGCAGCTCTCTCCATTCACCTCGGCTCCATTGTCTAGAAACCATTGCATCACGTGCACATGGCCAAACATTGCAGCTGATGCCAATGGATTGTCCTCCCGCACCAACTCGCTCGTCCGAACACCGCCCGCTTCCTCCCCTTTCGCGCATAACCACTGGATCACGTCGAGTTTCCCCTCGTAAGCGGCCTGGCCGATAGAGTACACGACGTCTTCTCGGTCCCATTGTTTACATGCAAACACGCGCTTTACGAGCCGAAGAGGGAGCTTGCGACTTGCTCGGTGGAGCCAATCCTGCGCTGCGTAGTCCAGGAACGCCTCGATCCGGCGCACAAGCAGCTGCTGCGCCATCAAGCTAGGAACTTCCCGACACACGACCAGCACACCCGTGAGCAGCGGCTGCTCTTCACCGTCGCCTTGCTGGCGTGGTCATCGCTCTTATAGCTCTTGGTCTTATCGCTCTTGGTCTCGTCTTTGATTGTGGGGAGGAATCCCCACCGAATCCAAGCTAAACGTGCTCCTCGGATGGGTTCGCAACTCATATATCACCACTGCGGATCTTCACTGCTGCTGCTTGAACTCGACAAACTTCAGGAGATACAAATACGTTCGGTGTGTATTAGATTTTGTTCAGTTTGATACTTTCGTTGTTCCCCTCGATATACATAATTCATCAACTTTTGCACGCAGCTACGATATCCTAGCGGTACGAACCGGCCTCACCGCCCAGAGCATTCATGTGCATATCTCGGAATTCAGCCACAGGCACTTGCTGCTGCTGTTGCTGCCCCCACGGAGCTTGACTCGACACCGCAGCGCCCCATTCGCCGCTCTGGAACACATCCGCTGCTGGTGCTGTGGCGGACGGGAAGGCGTCCCAGGGGTTCGACGACACCGAAGTCGGCGAGGGCGGGGGGCTCGGAACCATCGACATCCCCATTCCAGCACTGGCCGGCATGGTCGAGAACACTGGAGCTGGGAACTCGTCGCCCCACCCCGACCTGTTCGCAGCAGCGCTCGACGGCGTGTTCACCGTCATAAACTGCGGCACCGCGTGCGGCGGCGTGTAGTGCGGCTCCGAGAACCCGTAGCTCGCTCCGTTGGTAGGCGATGGCATCTGCATCTCGTGCTCTGGTGGGGGCGGCGGGGGCGATGCGAACGCCGCCCAGCCGTCATCCATACTGGAAGACTTGCGCGTGGCCATATTCGGAGCCGACTCGCCCACAAACTCCTCGAACGACGACTTGCGCACGGTGCAGGGCGCTGGGTGGGGGTTGGTCGCTGCTGCCATGATCGCTGCGGATCCGACGGGGCCGCCGCCTTGAGCCACCGTCATGAACTGGCCGAGCACTCCGCCATCGTCGCTCTCCTCCACTCCATCCTCGATCAACGCACGGATGCGTCCTGTAGCTTCATGCATGCGATCCGCGTAGACCACGCGGCCACGCAGGACACGACGAAGCAGTGGCGCCAACGCAGCGTCTCGGGACATGACGAACGCGCGGAGGTCGCGGATCACCGTGTCCGACAGACGCGTGTACTCCTGCGTGGTGGCTGCCAGCTTCTGCTCGTTGCGGAACATGCGCTCCGTGTCCTTGGACTTCTCGTTGCGGCCCGAGCTCGCGCGCTTCTCGTGCGACTCACGCAGCGCCGCCACCTTACGCGAGTAGTGGTCGTAGAGGGCCTTCTGCTCCAGGAAGGCGGTGGCCTCGTTTTGGAGACTGCGCGCGTGTTGCAGCCAGCCTCGAACCGGCAGCAGAACTTCTTGCTCGAGCCGACCATACGCTTCCTGAAGCACCAACGTGTCCACGTCAGCGCACGCCACGCGAGCTTCGCCGGCGAACTGCTGCATCTCGGAAGCTCCGACAGGTTTCTGCTGGAAACTCGAAGTGCCGGTGCCTCCCGACGACAGACCGTCAATGGCACCGACCACTGTACTCGCCGCGCCGTGGAATGTCTTGAGCGAGCCTGCGTAGCTCTTCAGAGCTGTGTCCAGTGTCATCAGCCGCTGCAGGGTGGACTCGAAGTCCGAGTACGCCAGATCATACGCCACGTTGGTGCTTGGCTTGGTCGCGCCCAGCGCCGTCAGCAGTTTGTTCTTCGTGCGCACACGCAGCGACGACATTGCTGAAGGTTCCGCTGTGTCCTTCGGGTGCAAGTGTGTGTTTGGATCCAGAAACTTTGCTCACAACTCAGTCACTTCTTGGGGCTAATTGTCGAATGCAGCGGACGAACCTTGATCGCTGGACGAGGCTACTGTGCCATGGATTGAAGACGACATGGAGGCTCAGACATGGTGGTCGTCGCCTATCAATAGTCAGAGTGAAGCTTCCTCGAGGATGACGACGCTAGGTGACTTGGGCATCAGAACACCGAGACTTGCTGACTAAAAATATGGAGCTCGTGTTGATTAATGCCCGTAGTGTGTGGCAGTTCCGTCTAGGTGGTGCCAGCGTACGCGGGTTGGTAATGCAGGAACTCCTGAGCGCATTGAGTCTCCAGTGGACAGCTCTTTGCACACGTGTAGACGGCGAGCGTTCCCCACTCGCAACTTCGTGACGAAATGTCCCCCAGCGAGCTCTGCTGATCGACGCACAGGTAGTTCAGCAGCTGCGGCAGCACCTGGAACTCGAACTTGCGCTCTCCGCCACATCGCTCGCACGGCGGCACATCGCCTGTGTGCATGCCCTCGGAGTGCACCCAGAGCACGGCTTCGTTCTCCCAGCGAGAGTAGCGCAGCACCTGGTCCTTCGCCAGAGCCACGCGCGTGAGGAAGCGCACGTACTGAGGATCCTGGTCCTTGGTGTGGCCGAGTGCCTCGTTCAGCTCGCGCTGCGTGACGTCGAGGTCCATGTCGTCCTCTTCGCCGGCCTTCTCACCCGCCTGCTTGTCTAAGAAACCCCGCGCAACCAAGAGAAGCGTTAGTATATTCCACATGAAGACACCATTTGAGCCACCACACAGAACACATTTACTCTTCTCAAACTCCGCCATCAACTTAGCTTCGTATCTGCAAGAAGATATAAAACAACAAAGTCAGTTCACCCAGTATACCAGGTACAGAGCACACAAGACACATGCAACTCACTCGTTTACCGCCTCGCTGCTGTCCGGCTCATGGTCGATCTCGAGGTCCTGCTCGGGGAAGAGCCACTTGGAGCCCTTGGCGATCGCCTTCTCGCGCGCGTCCTCCGCCTCCACGAGCGAGTGCGACTCGAGGCATTGGCCGCACGTCTGCTTGTGTCCTCCGGCCGTCCAGTGGTCCTTCTGGTGCGCCTTGCTGCAGTACTGCGCCACGTGACACGCGCTGCACGTGAACGTCGCGCGCTGTCCACACAGTGCGCAGAGGTCCACTTTGTCGTCCACCTGCTTGAGCTGCGCGGCGCCGCCCTCGGCCGCGTAGAAGGCGTTGTGCTTGGGCAGCTGCACGCGGAAGGCCTTGCCGTCTCCCTGGCGGCTGCAGCCGGCGGCGCGACACACGAAGACGTAGAGGCTGCGGTGGAAGGCGTCCTCCTGGTCGTCCAGCGGGCAGTAGATCTGCAATAGAAACGACAGCGGCGCGCTGCACTCGACGCACGAGAGCTGCTCGGTGGACGGGATGCCCGCCGCCGATGGACAGAGCCAGCTCGGGCGTCCACCGATCTGTCCGCCGTCCCACTGGGTCCAGTCCGGCTCGCAGTGCAGCGGCTTGGCGTCCAGCGACACGGGCTCGTCACAGACGAAGCCCAGCTCCACCTCGGGCGCGGCCTCCTCCTCGTAGTCCAGCACGTCGTCCTCCGAGTCGCTCATGGTGTCTGAGTGTAGCCATTCGTTTGTTCGGATGGCTGTCAAAAGTGGTTGGTGTGGTGCACACGAACCAGGTGGGATGTGGGTTTTAGCCAATGAGAGAAGTCGATGGGATTTCGGCTTCACTCTGGATCATTACGTGGGCGGATGACGACCAAGACGCTGGTGGTGGCTGGGGCGGGCGTTGTGGGGCTCGCGGTCGCACGCGCGGCTGCCTGTCGCGGGGTGGAAGTGCTGCTGCTGGAGAAGAACCCGCTTGTGGGGCAGGAGACCAGCGCGCGCAACAGCGAGGTCGTGCACGGTAGGGCTGATTCCTGCGCACTTAAGCTGAACTTCAATCTGATTCTGTAACGGCTTTTGGTACATGTACATGTTGAAGCGGGTATCTACTACGCCAAGGACAGTTGGAAGGCGAGGCTCTGCGTTAAGGGGCGGGGGCAGCTCTACGAGTTCTGCGAGGAGTTCGGCGTGCCACACGCGAGGTGCGGCAAGCTCATTGTGGCGCACGCGCACCAGTCGAAGCAGCTGCAGTCGATTCTCAAGCGCGGACTGCAGAACGGCGTGAGCGACCTGAAGCTGCTGACAAAGAGCGAGGCGAGGGAGATCGAGCCGCTCGTGGACTGTGATGAGGCACTGTTCTCACCCTCTACGGGCATCGTGGACTCGCACGCGCTGATGCTGGCGCTGCAGGGCGACGCGGAGGCAAACGGCGCGATGGTGGCGCGTGCGACTGCTGTTCAAGGAGGCACCTACGATGCTAAGTCAAAGCGGTTTGTGATCCGGGCAACACAAGATGATGGAGATGAAGAGCAGGAGGTAGAGTGCGACTACTTTGTCAACGCCTCGGGCATGTTCGCACCGAACCTCCTCGACAAGGTGGTGGCTCCTGGAGTCGAACGACCGTCGACACTTCCGTTGCCAACTGTGCTGGACAAGTTCGCGAAGGGCACGTACTTCAAGCTCAGCCCCAAGAATCGTCCTTTCAGGTAGCGTGTTGTGTTTGTATGCTCTTTTCACACGGCAGGTCGAGAGTTTGGATTAACGTGCGTGCTTTTAGCCATTTGGTGTACCCGATCCCGGAAGTTGGCGGTCTTGGTGTGCACGCGACGGTGGATCTAGCGGGTAATGTCCGCTTTGGGCCGGATGTTGAGTGGATTGATACTGTCGACTATCAGCCCGACCCAGCGAAAGCGGAGAAATTCGCAGAGAGAATCCGCGCCTACTGGCCGGATGCACGCGCTGAGCTGCTGGAAGCGGACTATTGCGGTATCCGTCCCAAGATCGCGACCAACGGCAACATCTTTGAAGATTTTTACATTGCGGTGCGTTAGTTTCAAGATGTTGCTCTGTGTTCAGGTTGTCTAATATGTGTCTGGTCGAATTCATGCTAGGATAAGCATACTCATGGTGTCCCGGGCCTCGTACACCTTTGCGGCATTGAGTCGCCCGGTCTTACCGCTTCGCTCGCCATCGCCGACACTGTTGTCGACATGCTGCAAGACAAAAACTGAAGAAACCAGGTGCAGTGCGATACTTGCTGCTTCAATCCAGCAAGGAATTTTGAGTGTTTTATAGTACTATGGACTTCAGTAGGCTAGACTACCACTTCAGCATATCTGGAGGTATCCTCTTTGCGGGGCGAGGACGACGCCTTCGTGTTATACTCTCCGTCGTCCCAATCATCGGCAAGCTTTTTCGTTTTGAAGATGTCATCGATCGACTCGTCGTCCTCCTCAAGCAGCCCCAACTCGACGAGTGCATCCTTCTCGATGCGCAGGTGGCGCATCGCAACAACGTAAGCCATCACGTGAGCGGCGACACTCACAATGCTGAGGTAGAACGAAGTGCCGAAGTGGTTCCTTTCGTGGTGCAACACGTGCGTCTCAAACATCCAAACGCCTATCAGCGCCGCCTGCAATCCGCCAGCGACCAGAGCTGTCATCGCACCGCCATGGACGATCCGCGACTCGAGGTTATCGAAAATCACTCCACACAGCAGTAAGAGTATGGCAAAGCCTGAAGATGCCGTCGAAATGGCTGACAGCACTACCGTCGCATGCCCCGGGGCTCCGCACATGTCCGGGAGAAACTGGTTGAGCCAGTCTGCCGCTTCTTGGCGCTCAGGAGCCGACACACGAACTGTTCCGCGCTCTTGATCTTCGTCCCAGGCGTGGAGCAACATGTCAACAGGCTGGTCCGCAGCACAGAGGCTGCTGGGTGTACTGCGCTCGGACCGCGAGCACCGACCATCGGCAAACCCGTGAGTGGCCTCACAGTGAATCCCCATCACGCCCTCCTGGAAGAACGACGCGCAGGTGAACGTTGCCTCTGCAGCCCCGGTATAGCTCTCCGAATGGAAGTTGGAGGAGTGCAGCAGGAAGCCGCGAAGACTGTCCCCCACCGTGCGGTTTTGGATCATCACACAGGTGCCCCATATTCCAAACGCCACCTCCAGATTTGACGAGATCTCTCCATCACTCGCGCTGTCAGAGCTGCCGACAACGGTGATCTCCGACCAGTACGGCAGCAAGAGGCTGAATAACGACAGCAATCCAGCTACCACGGAGCAAGCCACAGCTTCAAATTACAACAATCCATAGCGTTAGCACGCCACATTTCACCAGCCTCGCATCGTGCGTCCACTCACCGATAGCTCCGGGACGAGTGCAGCCCATGAATCAATCTACTGCTTCGTCGTCAACGTCTGGAATAGGTTGTCACTGCCTCAGCTGGCTGGCGAGTTGTATCGACAAAATTACCCGTCGAAACGCCCATGCCAACGCGACGAGTGTGGCCGAAGCAGCAACGAATGCAGGGCCCGGGTCGATAAGAAGACCGGTTGACAGTGCGTAGCACCATGGTTCTTGTCCGCAAAGGATCTTCGACGAAGCGGAAGTCAGCTGCCGGTTCCGTAGCGTCTTCCACGTTATCGGCCGATGCTAACGCGCGCCAGGTGACGCGAGCTGAGTTCATGGAGCTCGCTGCGGCGGTGACCCAGCTGAAGAAGGACTCGTTGAGGCACCAAGCCGTCGGTGAGAGAAATTTCCTGGTCTGCACCAAATAGCTGACGTACCATCTAACCATGCCTATCGGACACAGGGAGCCAACTGGCAAGCGATCTGGAGTTCGCAAGCGCCCAAGTTGCAGCCAACAAGACGGCCATGGGCACTTTGGCGGAGCTGGTAATCGAGAAAACGTCAGGGATCGAGCAGCAGGGAGCTACACAGTTGCAGGAGATGCAGGTCGAGTCGGAGCAGCGACTCACGGACGTGAAGCTGGCATTGGAGCGCCTCGAATTCCGTCTTCGTCACCAAGCGCGCGATTGCCAGGCGCTGACGGAGCAGGTTGAGCGGCATCAAGAGCTGCTGCAGGGTATGCGCACACAGTTAGGGCAAACACAATTGCTCGTGGAGAAGCAGCAGGACCAGGCGAAGACATTTATGGAGACGGTGGAATACACAGTCTCGACCTCGAAGGCGAAAGCGGCAAACACCGCCGCCGAGAGTGCACAAAAGCTCGAGGCCTTTCAGCAGCGCATGGTTAGCTACGCCAAGAAGCTCGACGGAGACACGCAAGGTGCGTATCGAGTACATTTTACCAGCTCGCACTGAGATCTTTTGATCTTACGCCGCATTTGGTGGGTTTCAGAGCCCTTGAAGGAGCTTTCTCGACAGCTTCGTGACGCGGAAATCCGAGGGAAGCGGCAAACTACACTCTTCCAGCAGGCGCTGGACGATCTCGTTGAGATGCGGCAAGCACTCCACGAGTTGGAAAGCCTGAAGGCCTTGGTCGAGCGCGAGCAGGAGTTCCGCGAACACACACGAAAAGAGGTACATGAGTTTTTTTATTGCGTTCGTGAGCCGGTCGATTGAACCTCTCTCTCTCTGTTCGCAGGACGCCCAACGATTGCAGTCCGTGGAGCGCAAGATAAGCAAGGTGATCTCGCTCGTCGAGAAAGGTGCGGAGAAGGCGGAGGTCCAGCGACTCGTGTCGCGTCTGGAGAGCAGCGTCAAGTCGCGCGTGGAGGCAGTGCTCGAGGTACGTGTGCGCGCAAGATACTGTAGCATGGAAGCCGGATAGCCCTTCACTGACGCATCTTGTCTGTCCCAGTTGGTGTCGCTATGCGTTCAAAGTGTCGGGGAAGCTACGACTCGCGGCTCGCACAATTAGCACCGAGTTCAAGTGTAACAAGCTTTGCACTCGCTTCCCATTTTCAATGCTACTTTCGTCGGGGTTGACAATGAACGATGACCGCTTGTCTCAAAGCTTGCACATGTACACTCATGCTGCTCGGGGCACTGTCTGACTTAGCAGCGCGCGACACGCTCGAGCATCCTCAGTCACGCACTCGACTTGTGTTGACGGCGAGCAAAAAGTGTCGGCTAAACGGTTCGCGTTCGTCCTTTCTGAAGTTCGTTCGCGCGGGATCGCGCTCACGACTGAATGTAAACGGATAGTTCAACACGCCGACAGCGCTCGACGACGTGTCTGCTTGGAGCGGGGCCGTGTTGATGCAGCGAGCGGATCGTCACCACCTCGATCGGACACTTCCAGACGAGGCGTCGATGGCAACGTCGAAACGACCGCTGCTGGCTTTAACGTGCGACGAGGCGGCGGAGCCCCTCGCTCGATGCGACGGCGCGAACGAGGCGGACCAAGCGAGCCAGCGAGTTGCCTCGGTATCCAGCCCAGCGACGACCAGTCCAGCCGGTGCCTTACGACTAACGAGAAGTTGAAGTTGACCCGCAACATCTGATTATAGGTGATAGCAGGTTTCAGAGTCTTGTTTTGGGTCAAAGTTGCACTTTAGTTTGGGCAGCACCGTTACAAAAAGCTTTCTGCTCCAAACATCGTCCCCAGCTCAGGAGTTTCCGATGCGTTCATGTTTCGCAGTTTCGCAGCGCGTCCACAGGTTACCCCGCGCACGCCAGGATGTGAATATTTTCGCCAGGAGACCGCATTTTATCTTGCTCGCTGTGCGCAGCCACCTGTGCTTGGGGACTAGGCAATGTAACGCGCTCGCGTCCTTTTCCTGTCGTTCGGACATTTTTCAGTCGTCAAGTTCCTTTGTAACAAGAGTGAAGCACACACAACATGCGAATCTTCATCTCCAGCTTTCCTTAGCAACCAGACCCAGAGTCAGCATCGGCCTGCAGACACTAGGATTAATTATCCTAACATGCATAACGTGTCCTAGAGTTGGTCTTGCTGCTCAACACCGCTGACATGGTACACTGGCAGAAATTCTGCCTCAGTGGTGGCACATGCCGCCTTTTCAAAATTATCATCTTTCTTAATACGTCGAAATACAAGTTGAAACTTTGCCAAAACGCTGCGCTTTGCTCAAGGAATTCAAAACAGTCTTTTTCACTTGAAAATACGTTCTAGAACCTGAGATATAGCCCAAAGTACACCCGCCTAAACCCCATAAAGGCGCCTAAACTCCATCACTGGCAGAATCACACACCCACGTGTTCGCGTCAGGCTTACCTCGAATATCCTTCCCTGCGCGCGCCTAGCAAATTTGAATTTGCGCATTACATTTTACATCGATGGCAGGCCTCCACGGTCAAATAGAGCTTACACAAAAACAACTTCAACACGAAGTGACTTTGGATAGACGCGATCCTCAAGCACCGCAGCCCAACTCAGTCAAAGTACGACGGGACGACTGCCAAATAAGTCTCCCTTGACCAGCGTCGTGGAGCGGAGAGAGGAAGGCGACGGCGTCGAGTCGCGATGGCCCTGCTCGATGGCATTTGACGTCGCGATCTTGGCGCTAAAAAGCCGCAACTGGGTTTCAAGAAGGCTTCCTCGCCTCGGCTGGTGCAGCGAGCTGTTGATGCCGAACCGGACGTGGAGGAGACTCGGTTGTGGGGACGTCTCGACAATTTGGCGCCATGCCAATCACCGCTGTCCTTCCCTGACTTCACCTTCGCGTTCCTCGTCCGCAGATGTTTGAGGTCTTCATTCCACAGGAACAGAGGCGCGACTTCAAGCCCGAATCTTGGATCCCTGGTTTGGGACAACTCGGCCGGACAGACGAATGCTTGGAGCGCGAGGCGCCACGTTGCGCCGTGAAGTACGGAGGCCGCCACATTGTCAACTACATCGATAGCCTTCTCAGCACGTGGCACTAGCGAGTGGTGCACACACGCGCATTTCGTTGTCGTACTCGCACGCTTCGAGGACATCCGTCTGCTGCGGTAGAAATTGTAGGCGGAGACTGGCGCGGGTATCTGTTCAACTTCCAGCTTCAATTTTGTTGGCCTATACATGTAGCGCTTGCAGATCTGACGACGCCATAGCGTTCGCGACGACCCAAAACTCGAGATCCAATTTGGGGGGGGGGGGGTAATAGATATCCGTTCCCAAATACTATAGCACTGTAAAGTGGACGGGTACAGCCCAATTACCGGATACCACCAGCATGCACACAACTCGATCCATTCCTCTGCTAGAGGAGATAGAGCCGCCAAACCTTCCACCGCCTCAATACATGCAGCTCGCGAGCCAGCAGTGGTGATGGCAAGACGGAGGTATGACGTGCACTATGCGGCAGGCACGTCACTGCAGGGCGGACGACGCGGGTGACGACTCCGTCCATTGTCAAGGCGCGCGGTAAACTTGCAGACAGGCAGAGTGACCTGCCTACAGAAGAGCCGAAAGCCTGTCCGCCGCCTTGAGTCAATCAATAGTCGGCGAGAAAGCAATCGCCCGCGTCCCCATCGTGCTCACCGGGCTCCCCCCATCCAGTCATCCTTGCAGCCTCCGCCCGGGACAACCAGCGGCGCGTTCCTCCTCCGTTCGAGCAAAACGAACCTGCATGCGACGCCCGAGGCGTGGCTGATTCGGATCCGCGCGTCTCCCTGGGGACAATGGGGCCTGGGACAACGAGATCTGGGGACAACGAGCCCAATGTACACTCAAGTGATCGAGGAATTAGCGACAGCAAACTACATGGAATTAACTGCGTATAACTTATCACGTCTTCTAACACGTAAATATACTTCGCGCTGCCTAAGATACTCGCGGCGCTGCTCTACTTGAATAGATACTTGGTGTGGTTGCTGGGACTTTCGAGCTCTGCCGATCCGATCGGGGGAGCGACGAATGGAGGAGAAGGCCAACGTGAATCAGGGACGCTCGTGGCTGGCTGCCCGTCTGAGCGCGTCGCAGACTCAGCTGTCCTCGGTCTCCCGCAGGCCCCCGCCATTCATTTCTTGGCTGTGATTGCGTCCATGGTCTCCGCTGGCTTGATAGGGGGCTCGGAGGCACTGCGGCTCGACTCGGCCGCAGCCCCCGACGCGCCATCGCGCTCGCTCGCTTACTTCTTGCCCGTCGGGGGCGACTCGCGGTCCTTCTGGATCCAGGCGCTCTTGAGCAGGTCGATCTCGAGGTTCGTCTGACGCTGCTTCTGCGCGTCTTCGGCCTCTTTCGTGCTCGGCTTCGGGGGCATCGTTTTCGCGTCTAGTGGTGGACTGTGGGTGGACAAGTGTGCCGTAGCGCGCAAATTGCGTTTTGAGCCGAGTTGAGCTGCGGCACGCCGCGAGCGCGCGCCGCCGCCCAGCCCTTCTCCCCTGCTGGGCTTGACGACGTGACGGGTTGGGTCCTGAAGCTACTGGAGCTCCTCGAGGATTGTTCTCGAGGTGTCGACGCGACGACTTCTTAGCCCAAGCAAAATTCCGCCATGCTGTTAAAAAGTCCAGAGCTTGCTTGATTAACTCGTGCCACGTTGGACGCGCCGAATGGATGGCGCCCCCTACAGCGAGCCAACGGCGGCGGAAAATGGTCTCATTCGACCCGCGCGGGGTGCAGTACCGTACCCTGAACACCGACACGGTAAAAGGCTTACACTACATGCACGCAGCACCCTGTTCTACTGGGACCCCCCAGCACGCCCTGGGCCGCGACAAGTTGTTCGACAACACGCTAAGTGGCTACATGATTTATTGGTCATTGAGTTTTGGATCGGGCGCTTGGTCATGCATACAGCATTGCCACAAACGTGTGGCTTTTGCTCACTTGGGCAGCGCCATTGGCTCGTCCCGCGGCCGCCCAGGAGCGCGAGCCTGGATGTGAATTATTGACGGGCAGCCCAGTCTATCTGCGAGGCGGCGCGCCTTGCCTGGTCCGGTGCCGCAGAAGATGAGAGCAGCCATCGCTGCGGTTTCCAGGCTCGTTCGACGCCATGCCCGACTTCCGCCGTCAATTCATCTCCAGCTTCCAGCCAACCATGTGCACTCCGACCTGGTTGTTCCGCTATCTGTTGCCGGTCCTTTCTTCCAGGCGGGGTGTCGGAGCAGCTGAATCTCGCGTCCTGTTGTAATGCTAAGTTCATGGCACGCCGTCGACGAAAATTGTGTCACGATCTGCCAAGTGGCGAGTGTATTATTTTGCGCAGATCTCGGGCTTCGTACAAGCCGCAAATTCTCTGAGGCTGTCCAGCTTGATGTGCATGCAACACGCTTCAACGTCGAGCAGCAACCGAGGCGGCGGTGCACAAGTTTCGCTGCACGATGCGCGCGAGTACAACTCGGCCGGGATGGGTTCGCGACTTGCTCGAACACGGAGTGCAGCGTTCACCAAAGTGCGCCGGATGAGGTAACACTTGACTAACCAAAGGATGAGAGCAGGCAGCCAATGCTCAGGTTCCGACTGGCTCAAGGTGATGAATATTTGGAGGCATCGATCGCCACTGCTGCAAAAGAGCAACGTCGCCACGCTGCTCGAGATGGGAGGACGACTACAGCCCTACGCCGTGTTAGAAATGGTTGACGAGCGGAAGTGAAGCGAAAAGGAGTGCCGAATCGGACCCTTCTCTTTGCAACGCTTACAACGCCAACTTGGCACCGAGCGGCGAGCGGATTGGGGCTTTTGAAGCACGTCAGGAGACACACACTATTTTCGAGCAGCACTATCCCCGCTTGCTGCTAACTCGGCAGGTCGTCTCGCCATCGTCTTCATATCCCAGCCGTCCAGATGTTCGTGTCACTCCTCTTTTGCCCTGTTCGTCAGCAGTTTGCCGCTCGGAGTTTTGATATCGAAGCTTGGTATGATGGTATCAGCTAGCACACGTACACACCAGGGTGTCCAAGTTTCCTTAAAAGTGTGAGGAAGTGCGTAGCTGTCAAGGACTACATGTACGGCATGATAAGCGTCCAACTTAACTGCCCACGTTAGCTGATTGAAGGTTTTCAAACCCATTTGCACGAAACCCGGCACCCGCGTTCGGTGATTGATGCGTTTGCCACTTCAATCGTCGTAAACATTTTGGCTCATAATGACATTTTGAACACCGCACGGACTCCACATGTCGAGACAAGGGGAGTACCAAGCTGTAGCATTTCGGGGAGAAGGCAAGGAAGGCCTGGGGCACGGTTGCCTTGGCTGCAGTAAGGTCGATAGGGGCTTCGGTGGGGAAAAGCACGCGCATTACCATCAGCTTTGAGCCTCTGCAGGCGTCACGGCACCAGCACTTGCCCTCCTGCCGGATGGGATTCGCATTGAGTCCTTCCAGCAGTGGCGACTGACAGACATGCCACAGCTGCTGCTAGTCGACCGTTGAAGTATGGCAGCTAACCCTTGCCTAATGTTGAAGTGGTCTCACGCGGATCCATTCCTGAAGGCCGCTTCAAAAGGCTACCTCACCGAGCTACCACACAAGTGTGTGCCACCAGACAAGATTTTATATCAAGTAGGAAGCTTTCAAAGGTAGATCTCTTCATGCATAAGTTACTGTAGAGTCTACAATGTAGACCCCGAGCTACTGTAGATGGACGCCAAGTACTATCATCACGCACGATTGCTGACGGAAGATCCGCGTTGAAGTTGGTCACCAGAAGCCGGTTGTGATGGTGTTCGCACTGGCAAACTCCTTGACCTTGGCCCAAAGGCCGATGGTGGTGCTTTGAAAAAGCAGAATCTCGCGAAGCTGCCGACCAAAAGAAAGTTCTCCAGGCACCGTCGTCCTTCATGTAATAGCCGCACTTAGATAGACTCATACAAAAAGCGATATTGGTGCGGACTTAACCGAGAGTTTTGCACCTTTTCGTCCGTAGTTTTTGCGCGGCGGCGAGCCAAGGTCGTACCCAACGGTCTCCCAGAGAGACGCTACGGGTCTGCCCTGGGACAGCCCCTGCGAGCGCTGGCGCCACCCGCGACGCCAGCGCTTTGGCATCTTGGAGGGCAGGTCGGATTGATGACTCCCTGGCGCTGGCCCTTTTTGATTGACGAGCGAGCGGCAGACCGGGCGCGCCGTGCTCGTGCTCATCGGGGTCATCCGCCGACGAGCTTGCCCTTGCTGCTACATCAGAATGGCGCCAGCGGGGCAGGGTCAATTGGTAGCGGCGTCAAGACTTGATCGCAACAAGTGAATTCGTCTCCAAAAGGCATTATGAATGACGGCATCAGCACCCTGTTGGGCGCGTTCATGTCTACACCGGTGGCGTTCTCCGAGAAAGCGACTGTTATCAGCCCTAAAGCGCTGGAAGCCGCGAAGAAGCAGACCCCGATAGTTGCGAGAGATGGTGGTTGGTGCCGTCGCTCGCTGCCGATAGCACAGGCCGGCGGTGCAATGGCAGCCCCACACGTCGGGTGCAGGCCGATCCAAGACCGGAAGATGATGCAGAGAGACTCTCGAGATGGCAGCTCAAATGTGTAGTGTATAATTTATATCATGGTTGCTAAATATCTCAAAGGCAGTCCGAGCGACTGGCTGACTGACTGCGCGCTGCTTCCTTCGCTTCCCTTCTCTTCCGCTTCTCTCTCATACTGTACGATGCTCGGGGCGACGTCGCGGCCGCTTGCGTCCAAGCAGCCGGCGGGCGAGGAGAACGCCGCTGCAGCCATCAAAAGGCGCAGGTGACTTCTTCCTCCTCTTTGCGCGCGCGTGTCGATCCCCTTCATCTCGACGGCCGCCTCGCTCGCAAAACCTCGCAAGCTGGTCAGCCGCCGCCTTGTGCGCGCCATAACGGCCACCCTCGCAGGCAGGCGCTCGGCGTCTTGACCATCTTCTCCTTCTTCTTCTTCTTCTTCCTCCCTGTGTCTCCGATCCCTCACTATTCCCGCTAAACCGGCCGCGCCGGCTGCGCGAGGCCTCACTTGGCGGCCGAGAGCGGGGGCGTCGTGTGCGCTCCGTGCTGCTCGCGGTCCTTGCGGATCCAGGCGCTCTTGAGCAGGTCGATCTCCAGGTTGGTCTGCCACTGCTTCTTCATGGCGGCGTGGTCCTCCACGGCGGAGGCGCCTTCGACGGAGTGCGCGGACTTGGGCATGGCTGCTAGTACTGGGTGTGGGTGGGGGCGGCGGCTTGCTGGCGTTGACGAGTGCCCTGCAGACGGCAAATTGCGATGTGAGCCGAACCGAGCGCTAACCACCCGCAAGCCAGCCGGCGTCGTCGTCTCGTCGTGAAACGTCGGCCGACTGTACCTGCTAACCCCTTCCACATGGATTCCGGGCTAAAACGGGGTAGCCCTAACTCGTAGCACTGGGCAAACCGCCACCGATGGCGACACCCCGTGCGTGCGAGGGGTTAGTTCGGGCGTGCCTGCCTGCGTCTGCGAGCGGCAATGGGCGCCTGCAGTGGCCGCTGGGGCTGCGGCCGCGCACGCACTTAGCAGCGACATTCAGCGACACGTAATTCGGACCGTAAATCCGGGTTCGCCATCATTCCCACCCTAAAATGCAGCCGAATGCAGCCGAATTTTATCAAAAAGGACAACATTTTATCAAAAAGGCCAACTCAACTCGGTCGGCGGTCGTCGAGACATGGCTGCGTTTGATTCCTGCATCGTTGCCGCAATATTTGGCTAGCGCAGGGGCCCCGCTCGCGACGGCGCTGCCGTGCCGTCGCGGCCGCCACTTCAACTCGGGCGCCGCGGGCAAATCGCATCAGGACTCGCGCAAGCTTTAAAATCTGTGGGTTGCACGCGGGTTCAGGCTCGAGCGAACGCCGCGTGGACTCGCGAGGCGGCCAATGGACCATTGGCAATGGTGCAGTTTGTTTGTTTACCCGTCCGTCCGTGGCCCACAAACTTAACCCACGCGAAAGCTTGATTTCTACGGCCAGGGTTCGCTTCGAACCCGTAAATTCCAGTCCGAGTGCCCGAGGCTGTAGGAACCGTGCAGGCAGGCGGCGGACTAAGACCATTCTGAGGAAGTCTGCCCGTAGCCACCTCGGACAGCTTGGCAACGAACGCACGATAAGCGAGCACGCCGGCATGGTGCGGTATAACCAAATGGTGGGGTGGCCATCAATATTCGTGGGCGCCAGTCAAGCGTCGTCAAAGCTTATGACGAAACAATGACGCCGGCTTGATGCACGCTGCTGCCAGCTGCCGCTGGCGTCGGCGCTGACGACAAAGCTCTGCTTTGAGCAGCGCAGCACGCTCGCCAGCTGGGCGAGGACAAGAAGGCTCAGACAGACGCGTCCTTTGTTGTTATTTCAACTTTGCCACGCCCCACCGAGATCTCCGACCGCACCGCCGAATAGCTTACTTTGGTTTGTCATGCTATAAGACAGGACTTTGAGACGTGAAATGCCAGTGGGACTTGCACGCCGCTCGAGGCTGGGCAGGCCGGCGTAAGTCGGTGCTTGCTGGGCGGAACGCAACGGGGCGACGCTCCCCACCACGAATCCGGAGGCTAATCACGGGTGCCGAGCCCAGCGACACTCGCCGCGGGCAGCTCCTGCTGCTGCTCCAGTTTGACGCGGCAACCAGCCCCTCTGCCCCTCAAGCTCGACCTTCGAGGGTATCCGTAAACGCTTCTCGAAGCGCTGCCCACCAACCATTCGACTTAACTCAGCTTAGGTAGTCGCGCTGACGGTATCAAGCTGAAGCATAACGGCTCGATGGTCAGGGCTGAGCACTGTAACTGCGGACCACCGACGCCAGCGGTGCACAAGTTGTATTGTAGCATAGAACACGAGCAAGCAGAGGCGGCCTCTGCTGGCCTCTGAGGCCGGCCCGCCGGCTTCGCGAAGGTTCGTGCGGTGCACGCGAGCGCCACGTAGGACGCGCGGACCTTGCAGCGCGTAAACTGCGCGGCAGGATCGTGGTCATCGCCAAAGTTGCAATTGGAGGCGGCGCCCGAACTGTGTGTAGCCACCTGAGTGGTGGTCTCTGCACTTGGCACTTCTGCAGCGTGGCAAAACTGCGTGTCGAGCCAAACTTTCAAATCTCCTCTCGCCTTCTGGGGGCGCCCTCAGCGGGGCACGCAACACGCACATCCCAGCCTGCATCAAGACTGGTACAGTACACTTTTACTGTACTCACTGCAGGGAGCTGTTGCCGCCTCCGCTGCTGCTAGATCACGACGTTCGAGCTCGCAGCAGTGCAGCCATTTCGGTGGGGTTGACCCTGCCGCAGCCTTTCCACTCGGGCGGCTTCCTCTATTCGCGACACGCTAACTTAACTGCAGACGAAGCGGTCTGCTGAATTGCCAGCATCGATCACGAGCAGGGCTCGTATTTCGTAGGGCTCGTATTTCGGCCACAATCGCCGGCTTTACATCTGCAGGGCGAAGTCATTGCAGACAACCGCGGGGCAGGGTGCCATGCTAACCCTTGCCTGCCCACGCCTGTCCGAAGGTTGTGTGTACAGTACATGTACACTGTGCGTGTACATGTAGAAAGATACCTAGGCAACCATAAAGCCCGCTGTAATTCAGGACACGCCATCAAAGGCATGCAGTACTCCATGGAGCGCGACACCATCGCAAGAGCGCTGCTGCTGGCACTGCTGCGGACGTTGTGCAGCCTCGCCCCTGCATGGAAGCCATGCGGCACAGATCCCCGTTCAACTGTGCCACACCGAAAGCATTGAAATCCTGGACGGAAGTCTCACTCCGTCACGCCATCACCACTCACGGGTCTCAGCATCTGCGATTGGCACTTAAAGGCCCCCCTTGTGACGCGCCTTAATGCTTGACGAGATCGCCGCTGCACCTGCAAGCATGTGGCTGCCGTCGGGCTAAGCCCACCCCCTACTTGCTCCAGCATGCTATCCCAGTATGTGATTTTGCATGGACGCCGTGGCGAGCGGATCTCTGAGGCCACGTAAGACCGCAAGCACGCGTAACCTGCTGGTCCACGTGCAACTTGCTCGCCGCAGTCGTCACCACAGCCCATATCCGTTCAGCGATACCATGTCGGGTATCCGCCACGTATCTTGGGCTTCAACATCAACAACATTTTGCTGGGGTGGCCCTGCTCACGCAGCGACTTTTTTCATCGTCGCGGGGTCGTTGATCACATTGCTGCGGCCCCCACAAGCGCAGCAGCTCTCGAGATCTCACCGCGCAACCACTTCAACATGCAGACTGCCCAAATTAATGTGCAACTACATCCCAAAATAAGAACCTGTCCAACATCACATCTACCTACACATGCCAGAAGACAGTGCGTCAATCGTCCAATCAGAACCGGTTTCGGCCGGACAGTCCGCAAGCCGCACGTTTCGCTCGCCATCGCCTCCGCCATGTCGTCGCAGCTCTGGCGATCGCCCCGCGCCGCCCGCTGGCTGCGGAACCCGGCCTCTCTGCTGCCGCGTCGCAGCGCGCCCGCCGCCCCCGCCGTTTTCCCCGACTGGCGACGCCACGGCTCGTCTGGAGCCGCCGGCGACGACGTGCGCGTGTTCTCGGGCATCCAGCCCACGGGCACGCCCCATCTGGGCAACTACTGCGGGGCCATCGCCAAATGGGTGGCGCTGCAGAAGCCTGCAATAAGATCGTCCGCCGCCGGTGGTGCATTATCAGCCGAAGCTGAAGGAGATGGACCTTCAGAAATCGACGCGTCGACGTCACCAACTTCAACATCATCGACAGGTTCGACTGGCGCGACCCGCCTGTACTCGGTGGTGGACCTGCACGCGCTCACCGTGCCCTTCGACGCGCAGCGCATGCCCGACCAGGTGCACTCTATGGTGGCGGCGCTGCTGGGGGCGGGGCTGGACCCGACGCGCAACATTTTGTTCCGCCAGTCCGACGTGGCGGCGCACGCCGAGCTCGCGTGGCTGCTGAGCTGCATCACGCCGCTCGGCTGGCTGCAGCGCATGACGCAGTTCAAGCAGAAGTCGGCGTCCGCCAAGACCGAGAGCTCGCTGGGGCTGCTGGCCTACCCCGTGCTCATGGCGGCCGACATCCTGCTGTACCGCGCGACCCACGTGCCCGTGGGCGAGGACCAGCAGCAGCACTTGGAGCTCACGCGGATGATCGCCACGACCTTCAATGACCGCTTCGGATCCAACCGTCCTGACGGGAAGGAGGTGCTGCCGAAGCCGTTCCCGATGGTGGAGGAAGACACCACGACGCTCACGGGCACGCAGAGGAAGTCTCTCTCGCGAATCATGAGTCTGCGTGACCCCACCAAGAAAATGAGCAAGAGCGACAAGTCGGCGCTTAGTCGAATCGAGCTCACGGACACGGCAGACGAGATCCGCAAGAAGGTGCGCAAGGCCACGACGGATGCTGTGAGCGGCATCTACTACGACCGAGAAGAGCGGCCTGGCGTCTCGAACCTCCTGGACATCGCCAGCGCCGTCACCGGTGAGAGCGTCGCACAGCTCGAGGCGCAGTACGCGGAGTTCCGCACTGGTGACTTCAAGGACAGCGTGGCTGACGCCGTTATTGCCAAGTAAGTTTGACGTGTAGTCGATGAAGTAAGTGCCCTGCTGGCCGATACTTACGGTTGTATGTGTTTGTGCTTCTGCCTTGCATCTACAGGATTTGCCCCATCGGAGAGCGTATCAAGCAGTACGAGGCAGACCAAGCGTATATCGACAAGGTGCTGGCGGACGGCGCAGCGCAGGCCTCTGAACTCGCTGCTGTCACTTTGAAGGACGTGAAGGAGGTCATGGGCCTCGCTAGGGCGTAGGCGAAAGCGAGACGTATCCTGCCTATCAACTAAATTTACAGCAGTGCCGCCGACGCTTCTGGCTCAGGAGTTACGCGGCGCCGATCCGGTGTTTATAAGATTCGTTATATATTCACTCGTCGCTCGATGGGTCTTCCCTGTGCTCGCAGCTCTCGCCCACTCCACTTGGCTACAGCCTTGTGGCTGCTGTGGTCGGGTCTGTGGCAAGCCGCGCATGCCTACACGTGCCCGAACTACTGCTCCAGTCGCGGCCTCTGCGTGGCACAGGGCATATGCACGTGCCCCAACGGTTGGTCCGGCCCCGACTGCTCAATAGGTGCGTGGGGCTGCTCCGTACGCTATGTGGGAATACTATCTGCTGAGTAATGGCCTGCTTTTCTCCGACATCGACAGCAAGCTGCCCGCTGGGAGAAGCGTGGTCCGACCAAGTCACTGCAACGGACGATGGGCACAATCTAGCTCCGTGTTCGAACCGTGGCGTGTGCGAACTCGACACTGGAACGTGCACGTGTGACCCCGGATTCACTGGTGCTGCTTGCGAACGAAGTGCGTTGTCGCGATTATTTTAATTGGATCGACTCCGTCAGGTTCAATTGCTCATTTGGGGTATGTCTCGCAGTGACCTGCACGTGCAACGGCCACGGGAGCTGCAAGTCCATGGCCTCGTACGCCTTGATGAAGGATCCCGGTCGCGGAACGATCTACCCGTATGCGAACAACTGGGACGCCCACAAAATCTATGGCTGCGTGTGTGATCCAGGCTACACCGGCTCAAACTGCATGAAGAGTGAGTACACATCAGCATTGCTAGCTGAATGTGATAAACTCGGCGATTTCTCACTCCTTTTGAAACACCAGGGATCTGTCCTGTAGGGGACGACCCGCTCACCGGCACGCTGCAAGACCCCAGCGGGATCCAACGCAACGAAAAACAGCGCATCAACTGCAAGGCCACAGTAAGTGGATCAGGAGTGTAGACGCTGGGTTGTGTACGCTAATAACTTCGTGTGTTGTCGACCAGTCCGGTAGCTTCACACTCACATTCGCTGGTTATACAACGGACCCGATCTTTGCCAGCGATTCGGCCAGTACGGTCAAGGCTAAGCTGGTTGCGCTACCTTCCGTGACCGCAACTACCGTCACCTTTGGTGGTATCACACTCACAGCCTGCACGACGATCGGAAATGATATCAGCATCGAATTCACTCAGGATTTCGGAGAGTACGTGTTTCAGCGCACCATGCTGCACCCAGTGGCCACGCTGCTAATTGTTTTCTGTGTAGTTTGCCAAACATATATGGCAATCCAACAGGACTCGCTCACTCTACGCCCTCAGTGCAGCCTACACTCACATTTACGACGGTGACGCAAGGGACCAAGGAAAGCATGCCCTGCTCCAGGCGCGGCACATGTGACCGCACCACTGGCGTGTGCACATGCTACTCCAACTATTTCTCGAGCGATGGCAACGCTGGCATCGGTCAGCGGGGTGACTGCGGTTTCGTCAGTGGAGCGGTGACAGCATGCCCAGGAGAAATCGCCTGCAGCGGTCAAGGCACCTGTCGTGGCCCGCCAACTTACGATTGTATTTGCAACGAAGGCTTCACCGGCGGCGATTGCAACGAGCGGCTGTGCCCTAAAGGCCGATCCTGGTTCGATCGCCCGACGGATACTGCTGACACGGCGCATGCGCTGGTGGAGTGCTCGAACGCTGGTGAATGTGACCGGACGAAGGGAGACTGCATTTGCCTGGCTGGCTTCACTGGCGCAGCCTGCAACCGAAGTACGCTAACCATTGAGCACTGTTTTGCCATGATTGACTGTATGCTGGTACCTAACATATCAACATTGTAGTGCTATGCCCGAATGATTGCAGTGGTCACGGAACGTGCTACACCATGGAACAGCTAGCGAAGAGAGCGACGCTAAACGGAGAAACGATGGCGTGGACATACGGCGCTGTGCCCAACAAAAAGGAGACCTGGGACTATGATATGATGCAAGGCTGCCTGTGCAGCCCCGGCTGGGAGGGCCACGACTGCTCTTTGCGGTCGTGCCCGACTGGAGATGACCCCATGACGCTGCGACAGCAGAACGAAGTGCAGACATTGGTGTGCAAGGGAAGCTCAGGCTTCTTCAACCTGAAGTTCCGAGACGCAGCGACGCCCCAACTCCCGTTCAACGTTCCAGCCGCCGCACTAGCAAGCGCGCTTGAGGCTCTGACGACTATCGGCAAAGTCTCAGTGACTTACAGTACGGACACGAATGCAGTCACAGGCTCTCCCGCCTGCAACGCCGCGGGCTCCAACACGATGCGCATCGAGTTCTTGACCAACTTTGGGAATTTGCCGCCATTGCGATGGATTCTGGATGGCGCGCTGACGCTGACCATCAGTGTGGACGGTGTCGGGGGATCTGTGCAAGGCACAAAAGAAGAGGCTGTTTGCTCCAATCGCGGCATTTGCAACCACCTCACAGGTGTATGCCGCTGCGCTTATGGCTTCACTAGTAGCGACGGCTTCGGCGGTGAGGGCGACCGCGGTGATTGCGGCTACATGGAACCGCTGTACATCACCTCTGCGGCGCAACAAGCTAACGCGGTTTAGTCGGTACCGATGCAGCAGCAGTAGTCTCGGGCAAATGAGCTTGTGGCGTGATGGCGTAAGTCGTTCTGCCGTGCATTACAACATGTATGGTCGAGGATACGACTTAACACAACACGCAAACGGATCCACGAAGAGCGCTGTATCTTCATTTGCAGTGTGTCTGACGATGGGATGCAAGTTCGTCGCCGTGTGCATTGCCACATTGGCCCAGTCCAGCGGAGCGCGCGCAAAGCAGGCCGTGGCCCAGACACTGGTCGGCGGCCCGGGGTTTGTCGGCGTTGGCGTCCCCGGGGTTGCAAGTGTTGGAGTGGGCGGCCTGGGTGTGTACGGCCCTGGCGTCTACGGCCCCGGTATGGGCGTGGGCGTTGGCGGCTATGGCGCGCCTGCTGCCCCCGAGCTTACAACAGCTATCCGAGCACGAACGGCGGCGGTGCCACAGCAAGCGCGTCAGCGACTGCGAACGCCAACCGCAAGCTCCGCTCGCAGGAATGAGTGGGGTGGTTTTGTATCGAGCACCTCACGTCTTAAGAGACGGCCGAGGGCCTATGGATACGCGAGTGCCGCCTCTTACTCACTTGCTTGCGTGAGTGAGTAAGTGGCGCATCTACACCTTCTGTGAAGGGTATCAGGCATTGCAAGAAATGCAAGTGTACCAATGTACCAATACTCTCGATTCTACATCATCCTCGCTGATACAGTATTGCACGAAAGGGTCAGCGTTCAAGCGAACCGAAATCTGCAGGGCCCTTACTTTCGAGTATGCTCGGACTTTTTGAGCACATTTGACTTCATTTGAAGTCGTGCGCTGCGTAACTCGCTACTACTGAATCCACTCTAAAGACGTTGCTTGCTGGGACGGCATTTACAGACGCAAACAACATGGTACAAGCTCACGAGGGCAAATATACTTCGGTTTTCTTGTATATGACGCTTGGATTCTCTATTAGTTTGCTTTTATCCGCATACAGTACGCCAATCAATGAGTTACTCCCTCAGGTACGACCTGTAGCAGGCAGGTACTACATGTTAAAGCCCCGCGCTACGAAGATCCGGATCCTGGATCTCCATACGATGTTGCTTGATTGGCAACGTCGTGCTTCATGAGTCAGGTGGCCGTCAATATGTCAACGCTCCACAGCAGACACTCTGCACGCCACAGCTGTGAGTCAGCAGCTTCTACACCTTCTTATGCAGCCAACCCACCAGGACCCTCCACGCCGATATGTACTGTACAGACGCTCCTGCTCGTTTTGTTGCCATCGCCCTGTGTGTGTGTGTGTGTGTGTGCCCGCGCGCGCGTGCCAAGCCAGCGAAACCAAACGCCATCGGCACACTCAAGATGAATCTGAGAGAAACGATGACAAAGGATGGGCATTCGGACGGACGCTCACCATTTTGTGTTGTACTGAACTTTGTATGCTCGATGTTGAAGTGGCTGTACGCAGCCGGGTCGTGGCGGAAACTGTGGCTGCGAATTAATCGCCTCCCAGATGATCGATCGACCGAAGCACACGAAAGCGCGAAACACGTGGTGCTGCCGTTGTGAACAAAACAGCGGTGGCTGCCGCGAGCTCTGTTTGCCCCGGCGAGATGGTCAACAAAAGTCCTGCGTGCCTGTATCAGATCGCGGCGTTTTACGCTACCGTAGTCAAGGCTAGACGGGCAGGCGCGGAGGGAGGGAGCAGCTCCGCGCTGTCTGCAGCAGTGCTCTGATAGCTCCGCTCATTCTCCAATTCACCCTCGAGCCGCAACCACTCGAGGCGAATCAACCAGAGCCAGCGCTCTCCCTGTCGTCTCAGACCAGACCACGCTCAAGTCTACACCAAGCAGTCTCCAGTCATGTTGAGCAGCAGCAAGATCGTTGCCATGTGCGTCGCGGCCGCCGCCCTGTCGAACGGCGTGCGCGCGGAACAAGCGGTGGCCCAGACGTTCGGCCACATTCACGGTGGCCACCTCCACGGCATCCATGGCGTCGGCGTGGGAGTTCCCGGTGTTGTGGGAGTCGGCGTGGGCCCAGGCTTGTATGGCCACGGCGTGGGTGTCGGCGTGGGTGTGCCGGGCGTGGCTGGTGTCCGTGTCGGTCTCCCTGGTGTCGGTGTGGGCGTGAACGGTGTCGGTGTGGGCGTCGGTGTGCCTGCAGTTGGCGTCGGTGGCCCTGTGGTCGGCGCCGGCGGCCCCGCGGTCGGATACAACGCGCCTGCGAATGCCGTCTCCAACGCGAATGCAGGTGCGCCTGCCAACGCCAACGCATACGCCGGTGCACCGGCCAGCGCTGTCTCGAACGCGAATGCCGGCGCTCCTGCCAACTCGGTCGCCAACGCGAATGCGAACGCAGGCGGCCCCGCCCCCGCCCCAGTCGCTAATGCTGGCGGCGCCAACGCCAACGCGAATGTCAATGCCGGCGCTGGTCCCGGTGGCAACAGTGGCCCGGCCCAGACGGTCACGACGACGAACGGCGACGGAACCGCCTCGGCAACGACCACGAAGACGACTGGCGGTGCGACTGCGACCGCCTCTGCGAACGCGAACGCTGGTCCGAGCGGTGGCCCGAGCGCCGGCCCAAGCAGTGGCCCAAGTGCGGGACCTAGCGGAGGCCCGAGTGCCGGCCCGAGCAGTGGACCAAGCGGTGGCCCCAGCAACGGACCGAACACCGCAACTGGTGGCGCCGGCGCAACGTCTCAGAAGGCGTACCGCAAGCTCCGCTCGGAGTAAGGAAAGAGTAGGTCCATCAGGAGTCGCTCCGTGTTCTGGTCGGTTTGGCAAGGGCAGCCTACGTTTGGTGTCATTAGGTAATTGTCGATGCGTTTGAGTATGGTACACTACGAATAAACCGCAAACGGTATTTTGTTTGTTCACCTTCGGTCACTACATCTCCATCTCGTTGAGCTCATGCCAAGTGGCCGCTCTACTATCACCGTGGACTGCGTCAGTCAACAAGATATGTTTTTGTTTCCGCGCTGAAGACCGACCATCCTGCGTTGCGACTTCCAAAAAGGCTACACGTTTCCGAACACTTTGCTTCGATGTGGACTGAAGCCGTCCATGCCACCGATCAGCGTGTGGTAAGTGCGCGCTCGTCTAGATCGGGCCGGGAAATCAACTACTAGGTACTTACTTGACGTACTAGGTACTAACTTGACGACGACTATGTATGAATACTATACTTCAAAACCGAATCACAAGCGTGCATCTTACAGTGGTGACTCCTTTGCTTCTTTTTTATTGTGTGTCGTGCAAAGTCTGCTGGGTCGGTAAAATCGACATGTACCGACTTCATGTCGGGCCGAGAGACTGCCTGTAGCACTTCGTAGCTGGAGCGTTTTCAGATACAACAAGAGTGAGGTTATGAGGAAGCTAGACGGGAGTAAGGTTACGAGGAAGCTAGACTTGTATTTCTTTCGTTGCTACGTAGACAGAGACTAAACTCGATAACATTGATACCGCTCACGGAAATACAAGCTTCGGTGAGTTGGGTTGGGTTGGGTTGGGTTGGGTAGATGTACGAAGCCTCCCCACTCATTCCTGCGAGCGGAGCTTGCGGTTGGCGTTCGCAGTCGCTGACGCACTTGCTGTGGCACCGCCGCCGTTCGTGCTCGGGTAGCTGTTGTAAGCCGCGGGGGCAGCAGGCGCGCCATAGCCGCCCACGCCCACGCCCACACCGGGGCCGTAGACACCA